GGATAGAGAGAAATGATTACTTATTGACTTGGTAAAACTCATTAGATTTCACCTTGATATTTTTCATAAGAGAATGAACAGCTAGCACCGCTACTGGACGAGTAAAACCTGTAAAAAAAGTTCTAATTTTTATGTATTTTGTGCATATTCGAAACGTTTTATTTTGTTCTGTTAAACTCTAAATTATGAGCTCATATTTTGTATATATAGTTACTGTACATATCATATGAGATGTTAGGTTGTATTATATATATTTTTTTATCCATGAATGTATATATTTTATGAGTTCACTGCATGAAATGGTTTGAGTAGAAATTGCGCCTCATAAGGCGTGACATTGAGAGTTAAGTTAATTTAAGAATTAAATTCATGCATTAAAATGACTAAAATTTTAAGTTTTAAAAATCAAGTATTTTTTTTTTTAATTAAGAGAGCAAACTTTTAAGTGCAATCTAAATAATAATTTTTTACTTTTCATTAAAATTTATAAATAATTATTTCAGTTACACTTCTAATATTCAATCAATTCAAATTTTTTAAATTTATATAACCAAATTAAATATTAAATTTCAAATAAATTCTTCATAAAATTTAAACACACACAAGTATATATATATAAATTTCAAATAAATTCTTCATAAAATTTAAACACACACAAGTATATATATATATATATCCACACACAAATAACTCACCTGTTAGTATTTGAATATTTATTATTTATTTATTTTTTTTTGAAATGTCTTTCATCGTGTATACCACGTTGGCTGAATAATCAAAACCTCAAAACGGCGCACCGTGGATACGTACGTTGACTTACAAAAAAAAAACAAATATTTGCGGACCAGTTCTTTATCTTTTTTATTATTTTAATTATTTAGATAATTTCCTGTCAGAAATACTTTTATTTCATCCATGGTTTCCTCTTAATTTCCTTGGCATTTCGGCTCTTCTATATAAACTCTCTTCTTCAATTCCTTTTCTCCAACATCTCAAAGAAGTTGTCACCTCTGTCACCATCGTCATTATCGTAATCTCCTGCTTGTAAGTTTTCTGAAAATTTTCTGGTTATTTACTCTCATCTTATTGCCATTTTCCTTTTTATATTTCTATCAGTTTGGTTCCATTTTTATAAATTTAAAAATTTACAGTTTTCCAATGTTTATATATCTATTAACTGTAAACTTCTGTTAAATAAAATAAAATTGCTACGTAATGATAATTACAATGAATATATATAATAATAATCCCAACTGCTCCGTTGTTTCCTTCCAAGTTTATTTATTAAAGAGTCGGCACCCGCAGACACACACAGATGTACCTAAATAGCTGCAAGTATATGAACATATATGGTTCGGTGAAAATTATATGCTTGGATTTGGACAAAAATTCAACATCATTTCCATATATATACATACATATGGCTCTTATGTATAATTAACGAGAAGAAAAAATGGCTGCAAATTTTAAAGGGTAATTATATATATTTGTAAAAGGAAGTGAGAGAGCTTAGTCTGTCTGAACTATGACGTTGTTCGGCATTTAATGGTGGAGAGATGCTAATCAATATACTTTTGTCTGCAAAACCAAAATAGAAAAACTACTTGTAGCGGGCGTGGCATATTCTTACTTTTGAATATGGGAAATTCCAAATTATGTATATTATATATATATGTATGTATATGTGTGTATACATACCCCTTGTATATAAATATTGTACTTACCCATCTAGAGTATAATTTGTAGAGATGGATCATACAAGTGCTACAATATTTTTCAATCCATTAGAGCAGCGCAAAATTCTTCACCTGGTAATTAATCCCAATCCTGCTCTAGTTCACTAATTTCATTTATAAACATTATAATACTTACACTCTCAAAAGTCACAAAATTACATTATATACATGTATATATGTTTATATGATATTATATTATATTTATATATTATGCAGTTGAGGCATGCTCAAGGGATTCACAATGTAGAAGCAGAAAAGAGTAAAGAAGCAACACTATCTCCCCAACTCTTGGATGCTCAACTCTCCCCTCTAGGCTGGCAGCAGGTATTATAAAACACATTATTATTCTTTCCTTTTGGGAGAATTATATTCTTCTGGGTTTCAAATCAAATCAAGCTTTGTTTTTGTAACAAGTAATTGTGTTTTAACAGGTTGAAAATCTGCGGAAAGAAGTTCGCTCCAATGGACTTTTCGAGAGGGTTGAGTTAGTTGTTACTTCTCCGATGTCAAGGTATTCGATTCATTTGGCTCATTTAAAAAATCTCAAATTTACTAGACTAGTATTAAAGAAAATATCTTTAAGATCGATTAGATAAAAACCTAATTTTTTTGTACAAAAACTAAATCTCGTCAATCTCTATTTGGTTTGCACTTCAGTCTTTTTAATTTCTTTGAATTTGAATATATGTGCCAAAGTATGAAAAACATGAACTTCAGGAGGTGTGTCAACCTAGCTAATCTCATGAATGTTTACCATAATAAAAAAATTATGGTGCAGAACCATCCAAACGGCAATCGGAGTTTTCGGAGAAGAAATTAAAGGAAATCAAGTAGGTGAAAATAAACAAGATTCCCGGGATCATAATTCACTACCAATCATAGCAATCGAGCTTTGTAGAGAACGAATGGTAATATATTTTAAATTGATTTTATTTAAAGTCTAGTGGGATCTAAACCTTCAACCTCAAATTGAAGTGAGGATAATTAGAGTTTCATATTGCAGGGCATCAATCCATGTGATAAGAGGAGAAGCATAAGCAATTATCAATCTCTTTTCCCTTTAATCGACTTCTCACAGGCAACTATTTTTAGTCCTAACCCTACTTTTATCAAAGTTTCTTTCATCAATCAATCATCCGATTTGTAATTAGATTTTTACCGAGTCATGGATATGGTTAATCTGTAAAGTTATTTTGTAATTCTCTTTTCAGATAGAAAGTGATGATGATATTTTATGGAAAGCTGACAGTCGAGAAGGTCTGCTAGAAGTTGCAGCCAGGGGAATGAAGCTTATGAAATGGTGATTTTTGCAATTTGTATAGTATTCAAAATTTGCTGATACAAAAATGCTAATTTAAAAATACATATTTAAATAAAGAAACTTATTATAGAATTATTGTTTTTCTAATTAAAATTGCTTATTGATAAATAAATAATAAGCAGTTTTAATAAACAAGTAGATTATTTCAAATTTATAGCCTATATATTTATAAAAAAATGAATTCATTGAGGAAATTTTATAGAAATATTTCTAATTTTAGTTGAGAAAAATTTTGTAGGTTGCGGACAAGAAAAGAGAAGGAAATTGCAATTGTGAGCCATGGGATATTCTTGCAGCAGACTTTACTTGCATTTAAAAATGAATTTGATGAATTGTGCCAGCGGTGAGTCTCCAGTTAACTCTCTTTTTCCCCCCACTGCGTGGTGATTTCACGTTTTTTCTTTCACCACTGAAAATTAACAGAGGGGGTAAAAAATTTGTGGTAATTTTTACATACCATAAATTTGACTTTGCGGTCAACAAAATCGACGGATAATTTTCAATCATGCGCCCGCACACGCCTTTTTAGTTGTTGTGTTTTGACTTGTTTGATGTGTATTTTGTAGATTTGGCAACTGCGAACTCCGGTCGGTGACCATAACCGATCAAGGGTGAGAAACTGACATTTCAATAAGTTTTCATTTCAGTTGTGTATGAACAGATAAACTTTCTTTATTAAATTTATATAATTTTCTACGTAACAATAAAAAACAAATATTATAATTTGAATTATAAACATAATAAATAAATATAAGTAATTTGCCATCACGCAAATTTAAAGTCTTTTTTTTTTTTTTTAATTAAAAAAAGCAAAGTTTGCTTGGAACTTGACGATTTAACAAAAATTATATATTCTTTGAACTAAACTTAATTTCAAGTTATTAATACTGCCATTGTGCTTCTATTTTTATTTTTTTATTTTTGAATTAAATAATAACATAAAAACATTTTTCTAATCTATAAGGTATTAAAGCACTTAAAATTACTTCTCTACTTCAAGCACAGTCACATTCCTAAGCAAATTATCTTGCATCTACGAAGACAATTCTTATTCTGATGTTATATATATGCAGTGCGATTGCGAAAATTCCTCGTGGACTTACTCTGCAAGAAAACACTTTAGAGAAGAAAATTCCTCGTGGACTTGCTCTGCAAGAAAACACTTTAGAGAAGAAAATTCCCACCTGTCGTGAACTAGCTCCAAATGAAAACACTCTAGAGAAGAAAATACCCACCCGTCTTTCCCTCTCCGTACATATCCGGCAACCCTAATTACAAGTCAGATCTCTCTCTCTCTCTCTCTCTCTCTCTCTCTCTCTCTCTGCATACTTTTCTACTTAACATTTCCCCCCTAGTCAATAAATGAGAAAAAGAAAACAAAAGAGTTTTCTTTCAAATCCTGTGACTTACAATCTTAATTTTGATCTGAAACACAATTTTCAATTAAAAGTCCAAACTCCATACTATTTTTCATGACTGCAATAGCAAACAAAAAGTAAGTATATCACCGCGATTTAATTTCCCAACATGTCATCTTAGAATTTTTTTCTTCCAGCGAAAGATTATCTACATTCCAGCAGGCATACCAACCAAGAAACTGAAATCAGACAATTATTTTCCTTTTACCCACTTATTGTGGGATCATTACTCTGCCAAGGACAAAAATTGGTTCAATAGACTGGTGCTTCAAGGGCTCAAGCCAAGAAAGAAAAGATGACTAATAATCTTGTTGGATAACAATATAATGGAACAATATCGAGAACAAATTATATACCATTACCCCTAACATAAAGCACATACCCAATAATGATAGACACGAAAAGGAAGAATACTGCAAGCATAATGTGGAAATTTAACTTCTTCCCAGATTTCCGGCTACTTTCTGCAGCTTCTGCTTGGGTGTTACTCCTGTCTAAGGAAGAACTAGTTGCAGAAAAAAAAGGGAGTACTACATCCCAGAAAGATTTTGTGATCAGTGAGGGGGCTTCTACTTCTAGATCCAAAATTGTTGAAGCATCTGGTAAAGCCACCATGGACATTAACTCAACACAATGATCATTTAGAACCTAGCACAGCATGAAAGATGTAAACACACAAGACTTCATGTTTAGACATTGAAGAAGGAATTCTAATAATCCATCAAATTACTAATAATAATTGAATCATGCAAAATGCTAAGTAAGCCTAAGCCAGATATGCTTAAAATTCAAGATCTCAATTCAGAATTCCTTCTCGATGCTTTGACAGACCCAGCCATAATAAAGAAATTAGATATAAATGTTTTAAAAGTTCCAAGTACACACCTCAAGTGATTCAGATTGTTGTAGATAATCACAGATAAAGATCCCTGCCAACCAAGGAACAAAGACTCTCCGTGGAAATGCAACACTGCATGTTTTTCTGTTTTCAAATGAAATAAAAAATACGATTACCGTTGCTACTGCAAATCATGTTCAAACCAAAGAAACAGGGGTGATAAAACAGGAGATATAAAGGACCAACTGTTTTACAGGTTATGCTAATAAAGTTGCAAAATAGAACAAACATTGAAAATGTGCAGCTATTCTGTTCTCCAAAGCAAAAACGACGGTACACTAAAACCGCAGCTGAATACCTGGATAAGTGCAGGACTAGCTGAGAAGTGGGTTTTGAAGATAATATCTCATCTTTTCCTTTCTCAACACTATAATCAGTTGAAACCAACTCTCCAACTGCCTCGTCACAAATGATATCCAATCTGCTTTGCAAGCTCCTTATGATATCACCCTGAATGTGGGAACTTTATTAGTACTAATTGCACAGAGCAAGATCATCAACTGTAAATACTAAAAGAATAATAATACCAACTTTTCATGAATGTAAAAAGAAAAAAGAAAAAGGAAAAATCACAATTTGATTGTTGGAATGGGATTTTGGGAAAAACTAGTCACAATAATTTGAACTAACATATCGCAAAATTAATGATGATATTTATCAACAAGGTAAATGCGAGACATAAATTCTATGCAACAGATGCTAGCATTGCATGTAATTTAATCCGCAAAAGCATGCTGGGAAGGATGAAGTATGGAACATCTATGGGCCAAGTCTCAGCAGAATCTTTTCATTTGAGTATGCAGTACCTCACAATTTAATGTATCACACTGGAGCAGGGTTTAGAGAGACAGGAAAATTATAGAAATAAAAGATAAATCGAAAGGCAATCACAGGGATTAGTAACAAATGTGTTCAGGGTTGCTACAACCAAAACAATAGATGATAAATCAATGGTTATGCAATATTACATATAGGAAACCAGCCATTCTGTTCTAAAAGATCTCCACATCAAACTAGATGATAAATCAATATCAATTTATATTCGGCAATAATTACAGCCAGAATTGCATTCAACAATACCTTGATCTCAGCAACAGCTTGTGAAACTGGTTCTTTGCTATTCAAATATGCATAAGAGCTCACAGAACTTCTAAACAGGAGAATCCCAGCAACGTCCTTTAGGCTGCAAGCTTTACAAAATATAGTTAAATGTTAGAAACAGTACCTAAGGTTAGAGAATGCACCACAAAATAATTCGATTGAAAAGGGAAAACAAACCTTCTGCACCTCTATCTTTCATGAATGGTAGAAACAATTCAACTTCATGCAAACTATCTGTAGCCCGTGGCTCATTATCAATCACCTGACTTAACAGAAAACAGAGAAACCATTAAAAACCCAATGCTTGTGTTGAACTTTTATTTTTTTTTTCTAGCCCATCACAGGCGAGGGCAAACATCCAGGGCACATGAGGGAGAAAGATGCCAAAGGCAAGATTTTTAACCATTTGAACCAGTTTCCTTCGGTGGTGCTTATATTCAGAAGTCATAACATAAACATGTAGAAGTTCTATGTCAGATTGGCCCCTACCAACTTTCCATCGATCACAGCCCTTGCACCTCTTAGCTCTTTTGCATGAATTGCAATTCCTTGGCGAAGAATTTCACTAAGTGTTTGGTAATTTGATGCACCTCCATTAAGTATAGGCAATCTGAAAAAACATACCTTCACTTGTGAGGCACAACAAGTAAAATATAATATTGCTGCAAGAATTGATCTCTTTAAGGTTTCTCATAATTCAGGCAAAGTAAATTCAGTGAATAATGCACTTATTCCACGTGAAGATACACATTTGAGAGCACATAGAAGATACACACAAAGAAACTAATAGCAAAGCACCCAACACACATGACCATGCACTATTATTAAAGAAAAGTCAAGCACTCTTGCAAACAAGAAAAAGAAAAGGCTCAAAAGAAGATACAAATACAACTGAAAGAAACAAATTACCTAATATCAAAGTTGTAAGTGCACCTAAACCTTTGTAGGGAATTTAAGACCTTTCCCACTTTAAAGTCACTAGGTCGCAGGCTGCTTGAAGTAATATTCGAAGTCAATGCACAACTCCGACATGTCCATCTATGCCGATAAAATGTCCAGTAAGCATGTAGACTGAACTGTATATTTATTGAAAAAAATGAAAATTGTGTATTGCAAACAAGAATTTTAATACCCAATACCTCCTTGGACTATAGCATATGTGAATAAGGAGCCTCTCATCCAAGTCAGTAGTCATAAACGGTGATGCTTCGGCGACCCCCTTTATGGTCTGCCAAAACCCTTCTTTTAAATACCAATAATCTCTATTTCAACACTAAAAGAAACTATAGACAGAACTCTAGATTATAATTCCCTGTTAATGTTGACATTCTTCTAATAGTCCTGACCTGATCATAACTATTAACTTTCAATTTTAAACCAAAGATCAATGGTGGAGCAAACTCAGTTCAAAGATATCAAAAGGTTGATTGAACACAAAATATGCTGCAGTTTCCAGAAAACTTGTACCAAGATCTAACATCATTTACCTGGCAAAGCACCATAGTCGAATTTTTATAAGCATTATCACTAGCCCACACGTAAATGCCAACAACCTTCATGCCACCCAAAAGCATTCTAGATACCTGAAAACGACACCGTTTTAATGGCATTTGGCATTGACATATGCGTATCTCAGATATGAGCAGCACACAAGCAAAATTGAATTGAAAAAGTATATTATTAATCATCAACGAAAATCAACCGCACCTGGCGAGCATGCTCTGCAACCCAATCGCTGTCAATGGCCAAGAAGGAGGAATCGGCAGGCTGCGATTTAGACTTAGAAGCCTTTCTCTTTTCTTTGTTCGTCTCAACGAGAGAGCAGGCGGGCTCTCCTGCATCGTTCTGTGGGGTTGGGATCAAATCGTATACGAAGCCTCGGTCTAAATCAGAGCTAAGCTTCCCTATCACAAGCCCCACCTGTTGATTTTCAACTCAAAAAACAGAAAAAATCATTTCAGGTTCCTCGGATATGAATCAATCAAATCGTAAATATACATGTCCGTGTATAGTGAGAAAGTAAGGACCTGAGCAGGAATCGCTGATTGGGAGATGCGAGTCTCGGCCAAATTGAGTTGAGTTTCCTCTCCTATTACTGTTTTCACCATCGTTTATCACTTCACAGGATTGAATCTTTCTGTTACTGGAAGAATCGAGCTTCTGCTGTTCTGCGAGGATCAAAAGACAGACTGCAGGGGCTAGCCGTCTTGAATCAGACGTTACGCACTTAAACCGGCGCCGTTTCCATGGCTTAAATCAACAACCGTTGTCCATTGTGCAATTTCTAAAATTGGGGAAACCCAAAAGATTGTTAATTTGTCCTGTTAATGAAATTGGGCCCCAGTAACAGTGTGGGCCAGTTTTGAAAATTGTAACTTTTGCCTGAGAATTATTTTTTACCCGAGATAATTATTATAATTAATTAAATTCGTTAACATTTTAGTTTGATGAATTTGTATGCTCATTCAGTAAATAAGAAATTACAAATATTTAATTTAAATAAAATAAATTCCATTTTAAACTATGTGCCATTTTTATTTGAAATAGATAAAAATTTTATTTTATTTTTACTTCTATTGCATGTTACTAAAATTTGAAAAAAAAAGTTGTTAATTAAGAAACAAGGTGACAATTATCATAACTTCAAAAAATAATAATCTAACCATTTCAAAATAATATGTCTTAAATTTTATTAAAATTTAACGGCCACAAGAACCAAAAACAGCCCGTTAAGAATAATTGAGTCCCATATGTAATATCAATTTTATTTTTAGATTTTTTTTTCTTCTAAAAACATATTTTTGGGTTTTTAGTCGTGACGTTTAAAGAACTTGAAAACTAAAGGAACCGTAAGTGTTTAACGATACCCACTAATCAAAGCTTTGATTTAATTAATCAAATACATCTTAATCTGCTTTTGCAAGATGGTTTTACTTTATGAGTGTGTTTAGTTCAAACTTTAGTTACGTTAAATAATATTTTAATTTGAAGTAAATTGTTCATCAAAATATTTCTGCAATTCTTTATCCAAACATATAAAAAAAATATGAATTTCTGATTGCAAAATTAAATACATAAAATAAAATTGATTTAGTTTTATAAATGATGATTAATTTTTATGTATTAAATAATTAATATTCAAAAATTAAATAAAATAAACTAATTTTTTTACGCAAGATAAACATTTTTTAAATGTGGATAAACTAATATTATGTGGTAGTCCACTTAAAGTTCGATTGAATGATTTGCATGATGATTCGTTAATATTGAGTATTGTATTGTAAAGGCTCATAACTTAAATGGAAATAAATTCATAAATTAAATGCGGAAGCGAAATAATTGAATTAAGGTCTATATTCCTTACACAATAATTTAGAATGTCCAATAGGCTTATGAGAATATTCTTTCTAAAAGAACAAACAGAATTTAAAAAAATAAACAAAAAACAAATAATTGAGCATCCTAGAACGACATTCACGAACTTTTGAAGGGAGTTCGGGTGGTGAACTATTCACAACCCTCTTGTTGATCGGGATCTGGATCTTGATCCTCTTGATCTAAAATAGTTAATGAAATGGTGAATTATACTAGCCTAGTAAGAATATCACACTAATCGCATATACGGAAAATTGAAGATTGGTAGAAATCAGAAAAATAACCAATGGAGCCTTTAATTTAATGTAAATTTATTTACTATAAAAAAAGTCATTTATTTCATATTTACGTATCAAGTTTTTTTCAAAAATAACCTATAAATATCCATATCCATACACTTTTTATTTTCACATATAAGATAATAAGAAACGATCACTTTTCATTTTTACTCGCGTACCAGTACCCCTGGGAGCCCATAGGAAGTCCTCCTACTTGTGAATCTAATATCAATTAAACAATTAATTGGTCGTCTCCATATCCCGTCCAATAATGGGCGCCAAACATTCTACCACATTGATACCTC